ACTAACTGCTCTGTGTGAGCCTGAACAGAAACTAAAGGGGCATGGCTTGAATGTCCTCTGATGCCTGCGTTAAAATTTCTGAGCCTTTCACTTATTATCTTATAAAATGCACTTATTTATTAATTTTAAGACTGTAAAGAAAAGAGATTCTTCCAGATCCTTGGCCATGTATTCTCCTAAAACATAGACAATATGGAATTTAAGGCCAAAGACCAAAGGCATTAAATAACCGGCAAATGACACAAGGTAGGAAGATCAGCTTGATAAGCCTGTATACACGAAATATGAAAGCCAAATTAAAAAGGCTAGAACTCCCACAAATATAAATAGAGCTGGACTTTAAAAAACTACAGTGAGAGTTTTTGTTATACCTCTCAGAATCTGACAGCCAGGCAAGCAGGGATATAAGGGCAACTGAAGTTAAGAGATCTATCTAAAGTCAGTGTCCCGCAGAGTACCTATTTTCTCCTTTCACGCCCATGAAACATGTTAATATTTATCATGCAGTTGGCCACAAAGAAAATTTAATACCAGCCAGGTGCAGTGGCTCCTGTAATCCCAGCACTTTGGGAGGCTGAGGCGGGGTGGGGGGATTGCTTGAGGCCAGGGCTTTGAGACCAGCCTGGGCAACATGCTTCGTTCACTCATTCACTTATTCATGAAAATGAATCCATTTTGTGAAAGGAGCAAACCCTTGCAGGCACCTAGGTCTGCCTGAGCACGAAGCACCATGGGGAGGGATGTCAGTGGCAGGCCATCCACATGTTCCCTTCTGGGATTGGAAAGGGAGCAGGAGGGTAAATCGAGGCAACAGGGTCCAACACATCCTCCTCGCCTTCAAAGCCACCATTTCAGAGCCTGTCTAAACTTACTATCATCAGATCCTCATGTCCTGCTACTCCTCACCCATTCATTCCAACCTCGCTTCTGCTCCCATCATCCCACCGAAGCAGCGAAGGCAGCTGCATCTTCTCCATGTCACTCACCACAGTCGCGATGCCAAGCTGACTACTCCATCCCACGAAGCAGACTCACCCTGGCTCCTGGGATACAACTCTGTGCTGGCTTTCTGTGCCCCTCTCAGGCAGCTCTTTTTCTGGGTCCTTTATAGGCTCATCTTCCTTTACTCAGCTGTTCAAGGTGAGTTTTTCCATCTCGCTGTGCCCATGACTTCAAACACAAACACAACCTAGACAAATGTCTGTCTAGCCAAGACTCCTCCTGAGCCCCAGACCCACCAGCTTATTTGGTATCTCAAAGATACCTCAAACACAGTATGTCCAAAACCAAATACATGATCTTCTTCATCCTCCAAACCTGGTCCTCATCCAGTGTCCCATGTCTCAGGGACACCAGGGGGATGACTCTAGGGTGAGTGGGGGCGGTCTCTCCTTTTAAGCACACCACGCAGGGTGAGGCCAACAGTGGGTTCTCAGTAATGAGCAGTTCTACCGGAACATGCCTTGTCACTTACTTCCTAAAAATAGCCGTGACCTTTTTAGTGGACACAGCAAGCTCACATCTGCTATCACTGCTCCTTCCCCACCGACACATGCACCCTTTCCCCCAGCGGTGCCACTCCCCAGGCTGGATGTGCCATATGCTCTCCAGCCTCCCTGTGGGCAGCCTCCACATTTCTCCTCTCTGCCCTCACTTGGATTTCCCCCCATTTCAAGTCCTCCAAGTCAGCCACCCCCAGGTGTGAGGGGCAGGGGACATCTGACTTCCCTCTCAATTTCCTTTCCTTCTTTTCTGCTAAGGTGGAGCCTAAGCCCCTGGAAAACTAGAGATCCAGAACCAGGCTCTGACCACCGCATGCTCCACCCCCTGCTTCACAGCTCCTGGCAAGTCACACACCCACTTTATCAACATTGTCATCACCACCCCCTAACTGATCTCAAACTCCTTTGCAAACATCTTCTCATCTGATTCTCCATTCCAGGCAGGCATTTTATTATCCAGAACTGTTCTGTGTGTGGGGGGCTCAGTGTGGCTGGGTGGCTTGTCCCAGGATACCCAGCACAGCCCCCACCCATTCCTTCCTCACTTTAGCATGGGCAAGGCCAGCTGTGGTCTGGGTCACTGTTCAGGCTGTACTTTTAGGATCCTCCCAAATAACAAACAACTATGTGACTATCAGGTCTTTATTTCATGGGTTATCGGAGATAGGATCAGTAAGCCTAATGTGTAACAGTTTCAGCGGTTATTAGAGAGTTCCATTGAATTATAACAATTCCCTTTAAAAGCACAAACTCCCACCAAGAAAACCTCAGTTTCTTCATGAATCCTAAGAGCTTTCCTATCTAAGTATCACTCAAAATTCCCACTATTCTGGGGGTAATGGGATCAGAGAGTGTTGCAGAGAAAAATCCACAGAAAGTGAAAAGTCTGTTTCCTTGGCAGTGCTGATGAAGCACACCCTTGCACAGACGCTTCCCCATGGGACCAAGTCCAGGAACTGCTTCAGGCTTATGGGGGAAGACGGTGGCAAAGAAGAGAGAGGAGGCCGGGCACGGTGACTCACTCCTGTAATCCCAGCACTTTGGAAGGCTAAGGCAGGCAGATCATCTGAGGTCAGGAGTTCAAGACCAGCCTGGCCAAAATGGTGAAGCCCCGTCTCTACTAAAAATACAAAAATTAGCCGGGCATGGTGGCGCATGCCTGTAATCCCAGCTACTCAGGAGGCTGAAGGAGGAGAATCATTTAAACCCAGGGAGCAGAGGTTGCAGTGAGCCAAGACTGCACCACTGCACTCCAGCCTGGGTGACAGAATGAGATCTGTCTCAACAACAACAACAAAAAAGACAGAGGAAGAAGAGGGGTGAATCCAGGAGGAAGGAGGGGGTGCACCAGAAAGGTCCTGAAACCTCTGATGTTCCAGCATTCGCATGCATTTTGGTTCCACATTCACCTCCTGCCCACACCAGTTTCTTTTCTCTATTCTACAGTTCCCAAGAAGAACCCACACTAACCTATTCTGTCTCAACTCCCACTCCTGTCATCCCAAGTCACACATCACCTCCCCAATCACGTGAACTAGGCATCACTAATCGATCCTGGCCTTCTAGACATGTCCACCCAGGGTGGGCCCTTTCTATAATACCATGCATAAAGGCATCAGATGGGGCTTCCACTCCCACCTCTTAGTTCCAATTCATCTCCATCTCACCCTCCCCACATTTCTCTGCCTATCCAAATCCAGCCTTCAAGGTCCTATATTTTAACCACAGGGAAACTACTTCCCTGTGCTGCCTCTGTTGTTCAACTAACGACAACTAATTTTCTGAGCACCTACATTAGGCAAGGCCCATCCTGAGTGCTACCACCAAGAGGTAAGTCAGAAACAGCCTCCACCCTCCAGAGTCAGAAGACAGGGCAGAGATAAGCCACATGGCCACACAAATACTACGCACAAGGCGAGAGATGAGAACTGAGTCAGTGCTGGAGGGGCTGAGTGAGCTCAGAGCATATCCCATCCCTCCTGCTGGGCAGCAGGCACCGGGATGGCTCCCAGGAGGGTGGAGAATCCTGGGCCAGACCGGGAGGGAGGGCATTCCAGGAAGACAGAGAGCATGAGCTTAGCATGAGCTAAGCCAGAGAGATGGTTCAGGAGAAGCGCATTTCAACTTTAGCTGAACCTTCCAGTGCTACTATTTATTGACCCTTACACTTGATTATTTATGACCCAGGCCTGCCTCATACACTTTATGGCTAATCTGGGTGACACCCATCTGGGACACATAAGTGTGGTGCAGCAGTCACCACCTGTTCTGACTGGTCTGTATCTGAGCGCTGTATGGTTATTAAATGAATGAATGCACTGAATCTCACAACAAACCTGTGAGGCAGGGATTAGTATTACCCCCATTTTACAGATGAGGAAACCAAAGCACAGACAATAGTCAGAGACAAGATAGCAAGGTATGCAGGAGCCTGAAGTAGTGGGCACCCAATGGCAGGGCAACAAACTGCCCTGGCACCTCACCTGGCCTCTCTTGTCAGGGAACACCTTGCAGCACAAAGAATGCGTTTAGGAAAGGGGGCCTGTTAATCCTCCTGGAATCCCCGACAGTTGACTGCAGCATAAAAGGAATGAGGAAAGCAATGAGAGAGCCAGTGAAGGGTGAGCATACCCTGCAAACCTTTAGTCCCTGTTACGTGGGCAGGGGCTCGGCCTCACAGCTCCACTCCATGCCTAAGGCAGAGAACAAATGAGAGAACCACCGCAAACGCCCAATCTCTACAGAGAGGTCACTGATTGGAGGGCAGAGACAGAAATGCCCCGGGCCGACTGTTTCCAGCTTGGGCTAGCACTGGCTGGCTTAACTTTTCCCCTCCAAAGTCTCTAGGTGACAAATTTCGCGTGTCTCCTTTAAACCAACAGACCGTTTTACCTTTCTAAGTCTTAAGGGCCTGGCCTGCACCCATGGGGAGATACAAGTACAGGAATCCCTTCCTGAAACTGGGGATCAAAGTTGGGGAAGGGGCGAAGGGAGGCACAACATCGGGGATGGCTCCCGCATTCTCTCAAACATTGGGGAGAGTTCCTTACAAATAAACTGCAATGGTAGCAGCTCCCATGAATGTGCGTGCTACAGTTACGGAGGAAAGTTTCTGAAGATAGCCTTGTCTGCTTGCTCTCCCCTAGCCTTGCCTGAAAGAGCGCGGGCACCCCGGAGGACCCCGCGGGGCTGCGGGGCTCGGCCTCCGGCATGCCTCCAGCTACCCGTTGCCTCCTGCGCCCAGGGTCACGGCCCCCGGCCTTACCCAAGCCCAGACTGAAACCCCGACCCTTGAGCCCGGGGGGGCCGGCGAGTGCACCCCGACCGCACAGAAGGGGGCAGCCCCCGACGCCGAGGCTTATTGAGGGGGCTGCCAAGCCGACACGGCCAGCCCGGGACCAGCCGACGCCTCCTCTGTCCCCCACCCCCACGCCTGTAATGCAACCAGGAAGCAGCAGGGCCGCGCTGGGCTGGGCGCGGGGCAGCCCCGGGCCTCACCTGCGGTGCCGCGGTGCACTGCCGCCGCCTGGTCCCAGTCCCCCGGCCGGCCCGGGACCCTCACTCACCTGGCCACGGGGACTCGGGACGCGAGGGGCGAAATGGGACTTGGGCGGGAGTGGCTCTCTCCGCGGGCGTCCCGGACGCGGTGCCTGGGTTCTGCCTGGGGCTGTGTCCCACTCCCGCTCGCGGGGCACTCGGGGCACTGGGGAGTCGCGGGCGCCGCAGCCTTCAGGGCGGGGCGGGAGGAGGAGCCTGCCGGGCGGAAAACTCCGCGGGCGCGGTTGCCCCAGGCGCCGGGGGAAGGGCAGGGAAGGGGAGAGGCCTGAGCGCGGCCCCGCCCCGAGAGGAGGCTTGGGCAGGGCGGGCCCGCGAGCAGCAGCGCCCTTCCGGCTGCGCAGCTGCTCCGGGACGTCTCCGGCTCTGGAGGTCCCTCTGTCGCCCCTAACCCCCTGCAGCGCCCGGTGCAGCGCAGAGCCGCATTCACCCTCCTGCAGGGGTGGGCATTTCCTAAGTCCTCTCCAGCCCCGTGTGCGTCGTTAGTGACTCTCTTTAAGGTAAAGAAAACTTTTTACACTGAAAAGGTCAAACACATTTCTTTCATATCAACACTCAGTGGTGGTGGAGGGGGGAAGGTCACGCACAGTATGTGAGGAAGGGAGCGGTCAGTGACTATCATGGAGAAACCTGACCAACCACCCAGCCGTCAAGGTGACCTCGACAGGGGTAAATCATACTGATTGCATGCACCGCTTGTGGTCTTCCTCCCAAGAACACCTAATCCCACTATAATCATGACAAAAACATCACAAATCAATTGAGGCCCTTGCCATATACATGACCAGTACTCCTGAAAACTAGCAAGGTCATCAAAAACAAGGAAAGTGTAAGACACGGTCACAGCCAAGAGGAACCCACGGAGATATAAAAATGACATGTAAAGTGGTATCCTGAACGGGATCCTGGACAGACAGTAGGTAGAAACTAAGGACAACTGAATAAAATAGGGACTTTAGTGCGTCAGTTTTGGTTTATTCATTGTGGCAAAAGCGCCACACCAATATAAGATGTTAGTAATAGGAAAAACTCGGGTTTATGAGAACTCCCTGTATTCACACTTTTTCTGTAAATCTAAAGACGTTCTAAAAAAAAAAAAAAGCTTATTTTTAAAAGGTCACATAGGTAATATATGCATATATGGTAGGTATGCAATTTTTTTTTTTTTTTAATGTGTGGTGGCTGACACCTGTAATCTCACAGCACTTTGGAAGGCCAAGACAGGAGGATGGCTTGAAGACAGTGCTTCCAGACTAGCCTGAGCAACATAGTGAGACCCGGTCTCTAAAAAACTAAAAATAAAAAATTCAAAAAATGAATAAAAATTGAGATTCACTCTTCTCTCCACTCCCCCAGCCCACTCTTAGGCTTGTCCTTCCAAAATATCTCCCTTCAATATTCTGTGTGTGTGTGTGTGTGTGTTTACATAAACATATTGTTTACAAAACAATATTGCAGTACTTTTCTGCAACATGTTTTTTTACTCACTGTATCTTGGAGGGTCTTTCCATAGAAGCGCTCCCGAACAGACCTAGTTCTTCCCATCCGCTACACACTGCGCGCCATCGTGCACTTCACCATTCTTCACTACCTAGCTCCTTACTGAAGGACATTTAGGTTGTTGCCTATGTTTGACTGTTACAAACAAGCTGCTGGTGCGATTTTCCTTTTTTTTTTTTTTTTTTTTTTTTGAGATGGAGTCTCCCTCTGTTGCCCAGGTTGGAGTGCAGTGGTACCATCTCGGCTCACTGCAACTTCCGCCTCCCGGGTTCAAGCAATTCTCCTTCCTCAGCCTCCCGAGTTGCTGGGTCTACAGATGCTCACCACCACGCCCGGCTAATTTTCATATTTTTAGTAGAGACGGGGTTTCACTATGTTGGCCACACGGATCTCGAACTCCTGGGCTCAAATGATCCGCCCGCCTCGGCCTCCCAAAGTGCTGGGATTACAGGCGTGAGCCACTGCGTCCGGCCCGATTTGCGTTTTAAAGTCGCTCCAAACAATAAAAGCGGGAAGGGCTGGAGGGGAGGCTCTGACCTTCTCCCTGTCTGGGCAGGTGTGCTGGTGCCGGGCAGGAACAGCGCCTTGCCTTGGGGCATCCTGGCCCCGGCCTCACAACCGGCCCTGAGCGCTCAGTCATATTCCGTGGCCGCTCCAACACCCCCGACCCCCACCAACAGGCGCGGCTCTCTTTCGGGGCTGGACCACATTTTTTGGACATGAGTCCGCGAATGAGGGTGAAATTCAGGCCAAAGTCTCCAGAGCGGCTCGGAGAAAACGTCGCCTGGAACTGAAGAGTAGAGGGTCAGAGGCACCACCAGAAAGACTCTCAGAGTGGGTTACTACCCTGGTGGCGGCGCCCGCTGCGGCGTAGGAGATGGCAGGACTGAGGGCGCGGGTGTGAAGCCTCCAAAAAACTGGGTGAAGTTCCTGGAGTGGTAATGTCTCCAGGCACTCTCTCTGGGCCCGGGGATTGGTCCGGGAAGGACTCCTGGCGCCGACCCAGCCCCCCTGCATGGACGCCTGCGCCAGCTCTACAGCCCCACAGCGACCGCGAAGACCAGCGTCTTTGAATGGCCCATTTTTCTCCGTGGCTGAGCGAATACCTAGAATACCAAGTTGATAATAAATCACGTAGGGTGGAATTCCTGCTGGATGTATACACCTTTCTGCGTCAGAGCTCTTCAAACCCAGAATGGTGAATAGCTACCCGTGGGCTTACCCTTTTATAATTTTCAACAAACCTGCGTTTAGCCTCAGCTAGGTGCCAGCAAGCTACTAGGGACTGAGGAGCCTCTGCAGAGGACCCGAGCTGAGGTCCTAATCCTCAAGGCCAATGGCAGGGGTCACTGCCCAGGCACCCCCAGAGAACGCGGTGTGAAGGAAAAGACACCAAACTCGGTGTTCAAATGTGTGGGATCTATTCTAGTTCTGATTCTGACACTTGAAAGTCGTGCATCCTCCGAGCCTCGGCTTTCTCACCTATAAAATCTTCAACGTGACCTATAAAAATCCACAAAATCACGCCTGCTTCATTGTTTCCCAGGGCTCATAGAAACATCAGGCGAGGTAAGGGAAGGTGAGTGCCTTGTAAAAAATGGTGACTTGCTATATAGCTCTGAGTAGTATGGTGTATAAAGCTTCGTTTTTTAAAAAAATTTTTATTTTATGTGAGTCACCGCGCCCGGCCTCTTTTGTTGTTTTCTAATGAGTATATATGACTATCATTTCCCTCAAAAGTCTGCTTTAGCTGAATATCACAAGTTTTAATATGCTATGCTTTTGTTATCTCTTAGTTATAAATATTTGGATTTTGTTGTTGTTGTTGAGACAGAGTCTCGCGCTGTCGTCCAGGCTGGACTGCAGTGACACGATCTCGGCTCTCTGCAACCTCCACCTCCCGGGTTCAAGAGATTTTCCTGCCTCAGCCTACTGAGTAGCTGTGGTTACAGGTGCACACCACCACACCCAGCTAATTTTTATATTTTTAGTAGAGATGGAGTTTTACCATTTTGGCCAGCCTGGTCTCCAACTCCTGACCTCAGGTGATCCACCCGCCTCAGCCTTCCAAAGTGTTGGGATTACAGGTGTCAGCCACTGTGCCTGGCCAATATTTTGTTTTTTATGTTAGTATTGTATGCTTAATTCATGGACTATTTAGAAGTATATTTTCCATTCTTTTTTTGTTTTCAAACTTCAGTTTTTAAAAAACTAATAATAATCATTTGGGGAGGGGCCCAGTGGCTCAGGCATGTAATCCCAGCACTTTGGGAGGCCAAGGTGGGAAGATCACTTGAGACCAGGAGTTTAAGACCAGCCTGGGCAACACAGTGAGAGACGTCTCTACAAAAAAAAAAAAAAAAAAAAAAAAAATTAAATAAAAGTAAACCAATCATTTCATTGTTGATCTCTAACTTTACTGCTTGGACATGAGGAAATGTATTCTTTTAGAATTTGTTAATGCTTTATTTGTGGCCTCATATACAGGTTTTTTTGGCTGTCCCAATTTTTGTGAATGTGTCTTCACTTTTTAATGTGTTTTTTTTTTTTCTCTCTCTCTCTCTATAGCTCTCCATCTAATCAGGTTATTTAGATCTTTTATCTCCTGGGGTTTTTTTGTGGTTTTTTTTTTTTTTCTGTCCTGTTCAATCCATTGATTTCTGAAAGAGTGGGTTTAACGTTTCCCACTTTTATTTTAGTTTGTCAATTTCTCCCTCTAATTTAGTCTGATTTTGCTTTATACATTTTTTTTGTTTGTTTGTTTTTTGATTTTTGTTTAAGAGGCAGTGTCTCACCATGTTTCTCAGGCTGGAGTGCAGTGGCTATTCACAGGTGTGATTATAACTGCAGCCTCAAACTCCTGACCTCAAGCCATCCTCCTGCCTCAGCCTCCTAGGTGACTGGGATTACAGGCATGTACCACCTCACCCGGCCAGCCATACAATTTTGAGAGCAAATTATTAGGCTCATACAAATTAACATTGTTTTATCCTTTTATGACTTATTCAGGTACTTTTTGTATTAATATTGTTATCCTGAGATTGCATTTTTCTAGTATATATTTTATTTCTCCTTTCTTACTCTTTCTGTATTGTTACTTAGGTTTATCTCTTGGAAATGACATTTTTTTTTACAAGATTTAAAAAGTTCATCTGAGTTTCTGTTTCTGATTTGTGAGTTTAACCAGTTCACATTGATAAGAATAGCAGAAATATTTGGGCTTATTTCTGCCATCGTTTGTGTTATACATAAGCCCTTGAAATGGATATTCATCTAGAACACATCGGTAAAATCCTGTAAATTATTACAAACTGGAATTCTTCCATGCTGCTTGGTAAATAGCTGCTCACACGAGACTCCACAGTGCCCCTACCCCTGACTTTCTTCTGATCTGGCAAAAAAGGGTCAATGCTTGTCACAGGGAGACCCTCTAGGACCTTTTCTGAGATTAAATTTTATAACTTGGTATGAAATACTAACATCTAAAAGACAACATAAAACTCAATCCACTATTACAACAAGACTGTCCATGATAAACTGGATAATGCTTCTATCAATTCGAGAAGTATTAAGATTAGACACTGCACAGAAAACTCAAAATGCCCGGTAATCTTATAGCTCATATATGAAACCTGATAGAAGTATTTTCAACTTTGACTATAGTCATAAAAATGTACATGCTAGTACCAATGGGATTCACTATCTGCAGTTATAATAACTTACTTCTGCAATTTTTTTTT